CTCAAACTCTTGGGCTTAAGCAATTCTCTTACCTCAGCCTCCCAAGTAGGTGGGACTACAGGTGCCTGCCACAACGCCCACCTGTTTTTAAAGACATGGTCTCGCTCTGGCTTAGGCTGGTCTGGAACTCATGAGCTCAGGCAGTTCACCTGCCTCGGCCTCCCAGAGTGCTAGGATTATAGGTGTGAGCCACTGCACTCAGCCGGTCTACAGTGATTTTATTCTCATCTGGTGAACTTGTTTATTTCCTAGTCCTAGTAACACTGAGTTATGTAATCAATTTATGACAGTAAGATTTTTTTCTTAAGTGATTTAACTTTAGGAAATCTATAACTTGAGTGTTTTAAATATTGATTGATCTTAAGACTGATTATTATTTCTTCATTGTCAGGCATGTTTCCTTCGTTGACTGTCCTGGCCATGATATTTTGATGGCTACTATGCTGAATGGAGCAGCAGTGATGGATGCAGCTCTTTTGTTGATAGGTAAATACATCAGAACTATTGCGTTTGACTAGTCTTAAGAGAAAAAAAAAGTCAGAACTGGTTTGGACAAATCAATGTGGAACAAGTCTAAAGTGGAATAATTTAGAGGGGAAGAGAAGAACTAAGACCTTTACAGGCCACATTCATTACTTAAGAGTGACATGACTAGAAACTAACATGTCATCTCAGATGACATCCTTACCCATCAGCTATCACAAAATAAGCAAGCAAGATAGATTTGGGGCTGATGGCTTATGAGAGTTCTTATGGTAGTAACTAACCCCCCCCCCAAAAGAAAAACAGACAAGAGTACATTTTTCTCATTTAAATCATGTGAAGTGGTTTATTATTTTTTATATTCACCACTGTACTAACAAGGAATAGATTATTTAACTTTTAATTTGTGTAAAAGTATTTTGTTGTGGGTCTTTTTTTTTTCTCTGAGTTGTCCACTTACAGACATAATAGTTTGATTTAGATGCAAATACTGTTCAAAGTAAGTGCTGAAGTCTAGGCCTGAGTAGGAGTTTTTCAAGACTAAGGCTGTGCTTTCTTCTTTAGGTAAGCTATTGAGAGGTTTCATTGCTATAGGATAGAAGTTTTAAAAGCATGCCAAGTAGGTATAGTACAGGACACCTGAACATCACAACTTGGGGAGGGTAATCATTACATACCCTAGGCATGTATGTAATAAAACATCATTTCTTTATAATACACTGTTGGTTATCTTTACAATTAGTGTTCATAGGCAGTATTAAGTGTCTTTCCTTCTTAATTACTCTTTGCCTCACAGGCTAGACCAGAAGAGTTCTAGACTGGATAGAGGGCTGTATCTTATGCAGAGGCTGAGGGCAGGCCCTGAGAAGCCAAATTTATTGATATCAAGCATCTTGGATGGGACCAGGAATGGGAGCCAAAAGATTGGGAGGTTCTAGTTGATGGAGACATAGAGGATGAAGCAGGAGCAAAAAGTCGATGTTTGGCAGTGATATCCAGGACTTTGGCTGAGTAGGGATAGAATATTCAAAAGTTGTCTTTATTAGATGCCAGCTTTTTTGGGGAGGGGGTGCTGGTAGTAAAATATACTGATAAAATTTAGCCATTTATAGTGTACAGTTTAGTGGCATTAAGTACACTGACAGTGTTGTACGATATAGTCATTGTAGCATCACCACTATCTAGTTCCAGAACTTTTTGATCACTTTGAAAGTAAACCCCATATACCCATTAAGCAGTTATTCCCCATGCCTGTGTCCCCACAGCCGTTAGCAACCAATAATCTGTTTTCTGTCTTTATGGATTTATCTATTCTAGATATTTCTAGCTATTCTTATATGCATCTTTTTTATTTGTCATCTAGCTGGTAATGAATCATGCCCTCAGCCTCAGACTTCTGAACACCTGGCTGCTATAGAGATCATGAAACTGAAGCATATTTTGATTCTGCAAAATAAAATTGATTTGGTAAAAGAAAGTCAGGCTAAAGAGCAATATGAGCAGATCCTTGCATTTGTACAAGGTAAGAAGCCATAATATCTAACAAATCTGTGAATGACTGGCATTTAATCTGGACACCAGGTGTTAAATTAACTTAATAGATTATCTAAAACAAAATAAACTTATAGGACTTAAACCTTCTCTATCTACTGCTTATTATTGATCCAATAAAACTAGTATAATTGTTAGGTTTCTGGGTTTAACATACTAAAATATTAAAGAAATTAAAGTTAGAACTGAAATTGTATTCTGGAAACTTCATCAATCAGAGTTGGGTTTAGTTTTTTTTTTTTGGTTGCAGTTTGGCCGGGCCGAGTTTGAACCCGCCACCCTCGGTGTATGGGGCTGGAGCCCTACTCACTGAGCCACAGGCGCAAAAATTAGCCAGGCATTGTGGGAGGAGGGGAGCCTATAGTCCTGGCTACTCCAGAGGCTGAGGCAGAACCATCACTTGAACTCTTGAGTTTTGAGGTTGCTGGGAACTAAGCTTTTGCCATAGCACTCTAGCCTGGATAACAGAGTGAGACTCTGTTTCAAAAAAAAAAAACAAAAACAAAAATCTTACACTGTTTATTCCTACTGAGAAGCTATTTTCATAATTTCAGATTTGGGAGTGTCATTGATTTATTTTTTTAATCTTTTTTTTCTTGATGGGGTGAGATGGAGCAAGACTCTGTCCCCTTGGCTAGAGTGCAGTGGTATCATCATAGCTCACTGTAATATTAAATTCCTTGGCTCAAAATGATCCTCCTACCTCAGCCTCCTGAGTAGCTGAGACTACAGATAAGTACCACCGCACCCAGGCAATTTATTTAATCTTTATAGCGTTCCTTTCCCTAACAGCCTAGTGTTTTTCATTTCAGGGAAGACATAATGCATCTCCCCGCCCCAGTGGTAAGATAGGACTTTTATTAGAAAGTTAGAAAGGAATACAGAAAAAGTAAAAAGCATCAGCGCTTCTGGAAGGGGAAAAGAACTGAAGAACTTGCTTGGGATTCTCCACGTGGGCTCTTTTATCTAGGGGGACATAATGCAGCTTAATTGTTGACATTTGATTCTTTTTTAGACTTGTTTTTCTTGTTAGAAAGGTTAACTTCCTGGGCGGCGCCTGTGGCTCAGAGGAGTAGGGCGCTGGCCCCATATGCTGGAGGTGGTGGGTTCAAACCCAGCCGCGGTCAAAAAAAGAAAAAAAACTGCAAAAAAAGAAAGGTTAACTTCCTATGAACTCAAAATGAACCATTTTGATTAAAATCTAATTATGTTTGGCCCATTTCTTTGACCAACCTGTTTAACATATTATGGAGCAAATATACATGCCAGCAGTCTTTGATTAGCAAAGCGTCTATAGTTTTATCTTGGCATTTATTGGAAGTTAATTACATGTTATTAGAAATTTTTTTCATGAGTAGAGAGTGCTCTTTCCCATGAGTGTTAGTATTTTATTCCTTTAAATAGGTTTATCATTTTACCTTGTTAAATGTGTCTGTTAATATAACTTAACACTTTTTCCTTAAAGGGAATAGTACTCATATTCAGGAGTAAAAATAAATATAAGATACTGCCATCTTTTTTTTTTAGAAACAGAGTCTCACTTTATTGCCCTTGTTAGAGTGCTGTGGTGTCACAGCTCACAGCAACCTTCAACTCCTGGGCTTAGGTGATTTCTCTTGCCTCAGCCTCCTGAGTAGCTGGGATTATAGGCGGCTGCCACAACGCCCAGCTATTGTTTTGTTGCAGTTTGGCTGGGGGTGGGTTTGAACCTGCCACCTTTGGTATATGGGGCCGGCGCCCTACTCACTGAGCCACAGGCGCTGCCCAGATATTGCCATCTTTCGAAATAGAATTATCACTTTCTACTTGTTACTGGCATTTTTGCAGAGTTTATGCATATATTTTAGTGATCTTAATTATTTTTTTGAGACAGAGTCTCACTATGTTGCCCTTGGTAGAGTACTGTGGCATTATAGCTCACAGCAACCTCAAACTCTTGGGCTTAAGTGATTCTCTTGCCTCAGCTTCCCAAGTAGTTGGGACTACAGGTGCCCGCCACAACACCCGGCTATTTTTTTTGTTGTTGCAGTTGTCATTGTTTAGGTGGCCCGGGTCAGATTTGAACCCACCAGCCTGGGTGTATGTGGCCGGCACCCTACCCACTGAGCTACGGGCACCACCTGTGATCTTAATTATTTTATATGGTAGGTATGCAGAAGAAGTTTTTTTTTGAGACAGTCTCACTATGTCGCCCTTGGTAGAGTGCTATGGCATCACAGAAACCTCAAACTCTTGGGCTTGAGTGATTCCCTTGCCTCAGCCTCCCAAGGAGCTGGGACTACAGGGCCCCGCCACAATGCCCAGCTATTTTGTTGTTGTTGTTGTTGTAGTTGTCATTGTTTAGCTGGCCCGGGCCAGGCTGGCTCCGTGCACGTGGCTGGCGCTGTGACCACTCTGCTACAGGCACTGAGCCAGAAGAAGTTTTGTAAAACTCAAGAATTTTAATCTTTCTGAATTTTGTTGTACAGGTACTGTAGCAGAAGGAGCTCCCATTATTCCAATTTCTGCTCAGCTAAAATACAATATTGAAGTTGTCTGTGAGTACATAGTAAAGAAAATTCCAGTACCACCAAGAGACTTTACTTCAGAACCCCGACTTATTGGTAAGTGATAGGAATTGCCTTAAACTGTTTCTTTGTTTTTTGAGACAGTCTTTCTTAACCCCCGGTAGAGTGCCTTAGCATCATAGCTCACAGCAACCTCAAACTCTTGGGCACAAGCAATTCTCTTGCTCAGACTGGTCTTGAACTCGTGAGCTCAAGTAATACACTCACCCTGTGTTTGTTTTATTTTATTTTAAATATACAAGCAATACATAATTATTTTTTTTGAGACGGAGTTTCACTGTCACCCTCAGTAGAGTGCAGTGGTGTCACAACTCACAGTAACCTCAAACTTTTGGGCTCAAGAGATTCTCTTGCCTCAGCCTCCCAAGTAGCTGGGACCATAGACACTCACTACAACACCCGGCTATTTTCTTGTTGCAGTTGTTACTGTTGTTTAGCTGAGGGCTGGGCTCGAACCCGTCAGCCTAGGTGCACGTGGCTGGTGCTGTAACCACCGTACTATGAGTGTGGATCTTATTTTTTGTTTGTTTGTTTGCAGTTTTTGGCTGGGGCCAGGTTTGAACCCATCACCTCTGGTATATGAGGCCGGTGCCCTACTCCTTTGAGCCACGGGTGCTGCCCGCCTGTTTGTTTTAAGAGACAGAGTCTCACTTTGTTGCCCAGGCTGGACTGTAGTGGTGTGATCATAGCTCACTGCAACCTTGAACTTCTGGGCTCAAGTGAGCTTCCTACCTTAGCCTCCTGGGTAGCAGGAACCTACAGGTGCATACCACTATGCCTGGCTTTTTTTTTTTTTATTAAGTCATAGTTGTGTACGTTAATGTAATCGTGGGGTACAATGTGCTGCTTTTATATACAATTTGAAATATTTTCATCAAACTTGTTAACATAGCCTTCACGACATTTTCTTAGTTACTGTGTCAAGACATTTATATTCTACACTTAGTAAATTTCACATATACCCATGTAATCACCATAGGTGTGGTCCCACCAATTACCTTTCCTACCCCCTCCCCTGGCTTCCCTTCCCCTTCTCCTTCTTGGGCCGTGTGTGTGTGTGTGTGTGTGTGTGTGTGTGTGTGTGTGTATTTTTTGGGGGGGGGGGTAAAGCCAGGACCTTACTGTTTTCCAGGCTGATCTTTTTTTTTCTTTGCAGTTTTTGGGCAGGGCCAGGTTTGGACTCACCACCTCTGGTATATGGGGCCAGCACCCTACTCCTTGAGCCATAGGTGCCACCCTCCCAGGCTAGTCTTGAACTCTGGCTTTAAGCAATCCTCCCATCTTGGCTTCCCAAAATTCTGGGATTGTATGTGTGAGCCACTGTGTCTGGCCGCCTATAACTCTTAATTTGATTTTTTTCCACATTGATAACTCTTCTTCTTTTTATTTATTTATTTATTTTTTTGTAGAGACAGAGTCTCACTTTCTTGCCCTTGGTAGAATACGGTGGCGTCACACAGCTCACAGCAACCTCCCACTTCTGGGCTTAGGTGGTTCTCTTGCTTCAGCCTCCTGAGTAGTGGGACTCCAGGCATTCACCACAATGCCTGGCTATTTTTTTGTTGCAGTTTGGCTGGGGCCGGGTTTGAACCCTTGGTATATGGGGCTGGCGCCCTACCCAATGAGCCACAGGCGCTGCTCTTGATAACTCTTCTTAAAGGGTATTTGTTGATATTTTCTTTTTCTGCAGAAGTGATAATCCATAAAATTTTTTGAAATCAGTTAATTCTGAGGTTGTGTTGGCAGTGCTAGATCACATTACTAGATGAGGGATAGAGTCCTGAATACAGTAGGAATTGTTAACCTTTCTTTGCTCAATGTATGGTATCTTATGTGATCCAAGATGGAGTAATATAATATTCTTTAGGGAATTATATTGTTTTAGTCTGGATGTTAGAACTTCCATAGAAACGATTTCATTGTACCATTAATAAAGAATTGATATTGGTATAATTTGATCATCTAAGCTTGTGTGTTTGGTGGGAAATGTTCTCTCAGGTGACTTAAGTGCAAGTCATGTAATCCTAGTGTTCTGTAGTTTTAAAGTTAAATGTGTATTACAGAAGTCATGATACAGAGGTGTATAAAAAAAGTGTCCACAATCTTCCTGCCTTCTAATTATTATCCCTTAGCCCTGAAGTAACCAAAGTTAACATTTGATGTGTATTATTTCCACCTTTCTCTTTATTCATATCATAACATATAAACATATATTTGTGTGGATGTTTGTTGTTTTGTTTTTTCTTTCTTTTTTTTTGAGATAGAATCTCACTATGTTGCCCTCAGTCATGACGTCATAGCTCACAGCCACCTCAAACTCCTGGGCTCAAGTGATCCTCTTGTTTCAGCCTCCAGAGTAGCTGGGACTACAGGCACCCATCATAATGCTGGGCTAGTTTTTTGGAGACAGAGTCTTGCTCTGTTGCTCAGGCTGGTCTTGAACTCTTGAGCACAAGCAGTCCATCTGCTTTGGCCTCCCAGAATGCTAGGATTACAGGCATGAGCTACCGCACCCTGCCTTAGTTTTTTTTATTAGCAGTCTATGATGTTTGTCTTTCTACATCATTACATATAGCTTTAATATTCTTTTTTTTTTTTGTAGAGACAGAGTCTCACTTTATTGCCCTCAGTAGAGTGCTGTGACATCACACAGCTCCCTACAACCTCCAACTCCTGGGCTTAGGTGATTCTCTTGCCTCAGCCTCCCAAGTAGCTGGGACCACAGGCGCCTGCCAGAATGCCCAGCTAGTTTTTTGTTGCAGTTTGGCCGGGATTGGGTTTGAACCCACCACCCTTGATATATGGGGCTGGCGCCCTACCCATTCAGCCACAGGCGCTGCCCAGCTCTAATATTCTTTATTAATAGCTACATGATATTCCACAATACTGGCATACCATAATATGCCACCTGTTGAGGAACTTTCAAGTTATTCTCAGTTTTCCCATCATAAGTAAGGTTATAATAAACATGGGAATTTAATATTAGATTTTGTTACAGCCACTTCTTTGATATAAGTCTTATGTGGCTACTATTTGAGAAATAATAACTTGCAAAAGAATATTTCTTCTAAAGTTAAAATTAACAGAATTGGCTTTAATTTGTTATATTTTCTTTTAGTTATTCGATCTTTTGATGTCAACAAACCTGGCTGTGAAGTTGATGACCTTAAGGGGGGTGTAGCTGGTGGCAGTATTCTAAAAGGAGTGTTAAAGGTAAACTGGATTTTGGTTGTTATGTTTTTGTTTTGTTCTTCTCTTAATTGGGGAAAAATGTGGACAATCCCAAATGAAAAAAAATTTTTTCATGATGTCTAGTATTTGATACGGATTTCTTTGTTTACTGTTATGTCTTGTCTTTTTTTTGGGGGGGGGGGACAGAGTCTTACTCTGCTACTTTTGTTTTTTTTTTTTGAGACAGAGCCTCAAGCTGTCGCCCTAGGTAGAGTGCTGTGGTGTCACAGCTCACAGCAACCTCCAACTCCTGGGCTCAAGCGAGTCTCCTGCCTCCACTTCCCAAGTAGCTGGGATTACAGGCACCTGCCACAACGCCTAGCTATTTTTTGGTTGCAGCTGTCGTTGTTTGGCGGGCCCAGGCTGGATTCGAACCTGCCAGCTCAGGTGTATGTGGCTGGTGTCTTAGCTGTTTGAGCCACAGGCGCCAAGCCTGTTTTTTCTGTTTTTAGTAGAGATGGGAGTCTTGGTCTTGCTCTGGCTGGTCTTGAACACCTGAGCTCAGGCACTTCACCCTCCTTAGCCTCTCAGAGTGCTAGGATTACAGGCATGAGCTACAGCACCTGGCCTTCTGTTATATCTTTTGAATGTGTCTAATCTCTAAATTTATGGTGATGGGCTTGAGTTGTAGGTAGTTAGAGGGGTCTGGCATTAATTATCTCATCCACACCTTTTATGTGTTTGGTTTTTTTGAGGGGGGGCTCACTCTGTAGCCCTGGGTTAAAGTGCCACAGCATCATCATAGCTCACAGCGACTTTAAACTCCTGGGTTCAAGTGATCCTCTTGCCTCAGCCTTCTGATTAGCTAGAACTAAAGGCATGTGCCACCATGCCCAGCTAGTTTTTTCTATTTTTAGCAGAGATGGGATATCACTCTTGCTCAGGCTGGTCTTGAACTTCTGAACTTGAATAATCCACCTGCTTTGGCCTCCCAGAGTACTAGGATTACAGAAGGAAGCCACCAAGCTCCGCCTTTGTTTTTTGTTTTGTTTTGTTTTGTTTTTAAATTAAAAGTGATCTTTGAAATAGAGGAAGGATTGCCTTTTCAGTTTTGTAGTCTTCTTGTTGGAATTTGTGTTGTCCTATAATAATTCAGATTACTAATTGTATGTTCACAGGTGGGCCAGGAGATAGAAGTCAGACCTGGTATTGTTTCCAAAGATAGTGAAGGAAAACTAATGTGTAAACCAATCTTTTCCAAAATTGTATCACTTTTTGCGGAACATAATGATCTTCAGTATGCTGCACCAGGGGGTCTCATTGGTAAGGATTTTCCTCTCATATCTGTCTCAACTTGTACCTATTTGTGTTACTTTTCATGGGCAATGGTGTTATTTATTTATTTATTTATTTGAGACAGAGCCTCAAGCTGTTGGCCTGGATAGGGTGCTACAGTGTCATAGCTCACAGCAACCACCAACTCCTAGGCTTAAGCAATACTCTTGCCTCAGCCTCCCAAGTAGCTGGGACTACAGGTGCCCACCACAACACCTGGCTTTTTTTTGGTTGTAGTTGTTATCGTTGTTTGGCCGGCCCAGACTAGATTCAAACTTGCCAGCTCTGGTGTGTGTGGCTGATACCTTAGCTGCTTGAGCTACAGGCGCTAAGCTGGGAAATGGGTTATTCAAAAAGATATAGATTTTTATTTGGCAGTTTTAATGATAGAATGGAGTAGGACAACATTCATGTAGTTAAACGTGTGTTTATAAGTTGGTTTCATATGTTTTTTAAAAAAATTTTAAACATAAATAAGGATGCATTTTGGTTTAGTATATGGAATAACTCCCTTTTTTTTGTTTATTTATTTTGCAGTTTTTTGGCCGGGGCAGGGTTTGAACCCACCACCTCCGGTATATGGGGCTGGTCAGTTGCATGATGTCAGATCATAATTATGCTGAGATGGGAATAAAAAAGATAACTTCCCTCACGTCAGAATTGCTGAAATAATTTAAAGATTTTCTAGTCCTTACAAGATAGTATATTATTAGATACCCAGAAAAAATGCACAATTCAGTGAGAAGTGGTGCACCTTTGAATTAAAGAAGAGAATGTTTTTGGTGAAGCAGTTCTGATTTTTAAGATTTAAATTACGGAGTTCTTCAAACATATGAGAGAATGCTATAATGATAACCTTATGTAGCCACTATGTTTCAGCAGTTATTAACATTTTACCAGGCTCAGCGCCTGTGGCTCAAGCGGCTAAGGCGTCAGCCACGTACACCTGAGCTGGCGGGTTTGAATCCAGCCCAGGCCCACCAAACAACAATGACAGCTACAACCAAAAAATAGCCAGGCGTTGTGGCGGGCGCCTGTGGTCCCAGCTACTTGGGAGGCTGAGGCAGGAGACTCGCTTGAGCCCAGGAATTGGAG